TTCAATCTAAATCATTATTACTAGTTGAACTAACTAACACTTATTGATTGATCTGATCTTGGTTCATTTATATTCATGATAACTATTATTAGAGAAAAATTCAGAAAAACAAAAAACAAATTGATTCAATCTGAATCATCGTTATCAGTTGAATTAACAAACAATTATTCATTGACCTGATTGTGGTTCAATTGTATTCATAATAATTATTATTAGATAAAATAATTACAAACAAAAAGAAATTCTTTCAATTTAAATCATCTTTATTAGTTGAAGTAGCAAAGAATTATTGATTGATCTGACTCTGCTTCTGGTTCAATACTATTTATTATAATTATTATTAGATGGAAAAGAGAAATTCAAAAAAACAAAAACAAATTGATTCAATCCAAATCATCCTTATCAGTTGAACTAACAAAAAATTATTCATTGGTCTGATTGTGGTTCAATTGCATTCATTATAATTATTATTAGATAAAATAATTACAAACAAAAAGAAATTCTTTCAATTTAAATCACCTTTATTAGTTGAACTAGCTAACAGTTATTGATTGATCTGATTCTGGCTCTGGTTCAATTATATTTATTACAACTATTATTAAATAAAAGATTACCCTAGTGAAGGTACTCATAGGCGAGTACTCAAAAAGTACTCACGCTAGAAAATGTCACGAGTACTCATGAGTACTCACGCATTTTGAGTACTCATCAGTAGTACTCCTGCTAGAATCTGAGTATCTGAGTACGACAATCGAGTACTCGCTGTGTAATATTGAGTGTTTTGTGAGTACTACTATCAAGTATCTGTGTGCTCTGCTGATTTATGTAAGATACTTATAAGCATATTTTTGGTTAGTACCGTTGTACTACATTAATTTTTATTTAATATTAAAATACTACCAACAAACAGAGGACATAATCAAAGGTTGAGAAAAATGATCAACATGAGAAGGACAAATTTGATATCAGTTTCATATATTTTAACGTAAAGATTACAGACATAGAAATC